AACACTGTCACTGTCAAAGGTTATATTAGATGGTTTATACATACACACACCAAAGCTAACAGGATAAGAAATGAGGAGCCCATATCATGGACAGTACAGCACCAGGTCAACCGGATTTACGGCGGTGACATGGGCAGGTTGTTTAGACCTAGAATTCCAACTTTTGCGTGCTCACATTTGTAATTAGTGGTTTGCATGTGTTCAGATAAAAAAATTTCCACTACGTTCTCCCTCGATAGCTTCTGTCTGCATCTTCGAGGTGGATATTCCGATGTTGCCGTTGCTATGCGAATTGCGAGGTTTGGGCATCCAGTTCCACCCCCAATGTAGGTGCCGAACCCATCTTGCTTTCGATTGACATTATGAAGTTAGATTGACTAGATTCGTTGCAGAGGACGGGGATATGGAAGACATGGGATTTCAGTGAGATAATGTGCTAGGTATAGTTGATTCGAGCATAAGACACTGTACAGTAGATTTTCTATTCCATCTGTGTTATGGGTTTGTATAATTTGAGATTTTGTGCCCCTTCCGTTTTCCTTTTTTTCGATTGCCGATGACTAATTCTGCAACGTAATCTTTTTCTAATCTTTTTTTTCAAAAATTATAGGTGTTGATTCTTGTCAATGGAATCGGCACCTATAATCTCTATATGTGCCAGACAAACAGGTCAGGATGCTCCAAATTGATACCGGTTAAGAAAACGTTACCTACAAGGGATTCCCAACCGGCATTTATGCCATGTTATGTACTCTGTAGTAGTGGTCATTGATAAAATCGGAGAAAATATTATTAGTTTATTATCTTGCATGATTGCATTCTCACAACTGGTAGAAAACTAGCAACGGATGCATCTATCCATCAATCTCAGCCGTCCGTGTCTTCATCCATGGACAGATAGACACTAGCACTGTATATACTTAAGAAAAGCCAGCCGGGCACACGAACGCGGATTAAACCGTGGGGTAGAATGGGGAGGTGGCGAGGCCACAGGTACCCTGCGGCCACCACACGTCCTTGGCCAGGTACACGTAGCCCTGCTCACCCCAGTCGTTGCTCCACGAGTTCTTGGCGATCCAGTACTTTTCCCCGCCGAAGTTCTCGCAGTAGCCGACGATGGTGACGGCGTGGTTCACACTCCCGGGGTTGCAGGGGCCCTTGTACACGCCGCCCTTGTAGAACTGGAACTCCTGCGCGCTCGCGTCGATGTACACCGTCACCGGCTGCCTCGCCACGGCAAGCGCCAACTGCCGCTCGTCGTTGGGCGGCACGGCGGCGAAGCCGGAGACGGACGCCGAGTGGTCGAACAGCAGCTTGCCCACGTCGCAGCTGCCCTGGACGCCCGTGTACGGGTACTTCTCCTCCGACGTGATGCCGCCGCGGGACGCCACCAGGTTGAGCGCCGTGTCGGAGTGGCCGCCGCTGCAGCCGAAGCTCCCGGTGTCGCAGTCCACCATCACCTGCTCCGACAGCGACACCAGCTCGCCGGTCTTGATCTTGTGCAGGCCCTCGATGGCCGCCGCGGACGCGAACGCCCAGCACGACGCTGCCATTGTTTCCAACCCAACCAACAAATCAGCAATGCATTAATTGGCCGGAGCTAGCAGAGACGACAGAGAGCATGTCGATGTAGCTTACCGCAATTGCCTTGGAACTTGACGCCGGTGACGGCGCCGCTGGAGCGCCAGTCGACGCAGCACGGCTGCCAGGAGTGGGGCGAGATCGGGGTCGGCGGAGGGGAGTGGAATCCGGAGGCGTTGAACCCGGTGAACTGCTGGACGAACTCGGTGGAGGTGAGGTCGCCGAACCTGTTCATGCCGACGACGGAGTCGGTGATGGTCTGCGGCGCGAAGGCGCCAACGCCGGAGGAGAGCTGGGTCTGGCTGCGGAACGCGCCGATGAAGTTGGTGTTGCCCTTCCACACCTGGTACCGCTTCTCCTGCTCCTCCGGGCACGAGTAGTGCTTCGCGTACTTGGCCATCCACTGCGAGAACATGAACCTCAGCTCCTTGTCGGACTTGTCGCACGACGGCGGCGGCGGCGGCTGAGGGTTCGCCGCCGCCAGTAGGACCTGCAAGAGGCAAGTGATGGACAGGAGAAGCCCAAGAAGGAGAGGCTTGGAAGAAGCCATTTTGATTAATTAGATTATGTTTGTCGATCTCTTGTCTGTACTTAGTGCGTGTAGCTTATGCTTTTTCTTCTGTGTGGAAAACATGCTTACATAGCAAGGTTTATATAGACCTCTTGACCATGCATTGATGCTTACTAGCTAGGAGTAGTTGCCTTGTTGTGGGTTGTGACTTGAGACTAGGGAGTAGTTGTGTGTTGTGTATGCAAGAGTAGACGAGGATGTTTGGTCAGTGCACTAAGTAAATTAACTGAATTTTATGCTAAGTTGCTACCAACTAATGTTGTTTGGAGCAAAGGAATGAGCGTCTTTAGTTCATATGGAGTGACATTTTCCATTCATGTTTTCAGGAAATATCACAAAAGGTACAATGTCTTTGAAACTCTCATTTCAATTTTCTCCTTTCCTAGGAAGCATCCTTGTTGTGAACTTGTCATTGGCAGATTGAACACTTCCTTTTCCCTCAAAAAGATTGAACACTTCCTTCGATATTAAAATGCTTCCGAAGGATTCAACAACAACCATAATATCCTATACCCAACATGGTCATAATTTAGCAAGCTTATGATTTTAGTCATGTAATGATTAATAAATCATTTTAGTTGAAGGATGCATGGGTCTGTTCAGCAGATGGCATGGATAAACTAGATCCCCGTATATCTTGGTTGCTGAATATTTTGTTGAAACCAAATCTTGGTTGCCGAATATAAGAATGCTTATTATTTTAGTAGTTTGCAACAAACCATGTGCTTGAGGTTGAGGGGGTTAAAAAAACTAGTGACCAAACCGTTTTGTCTCAACGGTACACATCCTTATTTTTTAATTCTTCAATTGCACCCATGCTTGAAAAACACACGCACATCACCTATGATCAGGGCTTAATATATCGGTTTTTCCTAATCCTATCCTTATCCTATCGAGGCATCGATAACATACAAAATTTAGATATTGCTATAATTTCGGCCTGAAATAATTTGAACTCTTAAATATATTTGGTCAAATTGAAATAAATTTTGCTAAATCCAAAAAAGAAAAATTCCAAAAAAAATTGGTTGAAATAGTTTCCTATTGGGGAGATTGGGGATGGCGAGGGATTGGGGCGGCGATCGATTGATCCGAAATTTCGGAATTTTTATTTCAGAATTTTAAAACTAGCAATGATCAAGGCTAGCATTATACTTGAGGATCACTAAAGGTCCTCACGATAATTAGCAATGATCGACTTCAATGTTCTACTACACTGAAAATAATAATGTACGCGTCAATACATGACAGCATGGTCTGTGTGTAAAGTTCTGTCTGTGCAAGTGTACAATTAGAACTTCTTCAGCTCCATAGATTGCCACTGGAGTGTTTTTGTGTAAAGGCATTTTCATTTGGTAATTTGTTAGGTAATTAAGCATTTTTTTTGTAATACAGAGCGAGACATCACAACAACCAGTACTGTTGTTAGGTACTAATAACTACCAGTGACTAGTGGAATTTGAGAACTATTTTCCTGACCTGACAAACATCTCGCTAGCTGGCTCGAACGATGTTGTGTGCAAGTCATTTGCACTGACAGTGTGTAGGCGAGACTGAGACCGAACCTTTCAAACCAAAGAGAGCGAATAGTTCAGAGAATTTGTGTCAGACTTTTCCATCACTATATATCTAATTAATTTCAAACCTACTCAATCGCGGCCCCAAGTACACGCTGTACATAGTGCGTAAGATTGTACTTTGTGTACCATGCATTATCGTATTGCTACTTGCAGTACTATGATTAACTAATTTTCCCTTAAATTTCTGTTATCTTGTACCCATCACCGATCAACTAGGCGAAAATAGTGATCATATCAATTTGATTCCCTATTGGATGATGACTAAATCTGCGACAAAATCGATCGACCGCGTAAATGCATCGATCCGTCTACTGATCATGCATACTGTGTCAAACCAGCTGCTTGCCAGTGGGTACCCAACGATCCAGTGGGATTCGCACAATTAATTGTTGTCGTCAACGTCGATACAGTAGTTGCCAACCAATTAAAATTGCTAGACATCATATGGAGCGTGCAGCTTGTAATTAATCAGATTAACGGTTTAAACACTAATTGCATTGTTTGCTGGCTACCGATCGATTGGTGATTTGGAAGCTGAAACCATACTAAATACGAACATATGCATGCATATGCCAGCCCTTATCCGAGAGAGACCCAATGTACGACGATTTTGAACGAATTGGTCGCGTGCGTTTTCACCAACTACCTGCCCGACTGATCGTCATCTAATCGACTAAGTAATCAATACTACTCCATATGCCACGGTGTTTACGTAAGCAGACTGTGCTTATACTCGATCCCAACATTTAGCGTGGGGAAGTATCAAACGTTGCGTAGTGATGTGCAATTTTCATTTATTTGACAATATACAAATCATATAAAATTCATTAATTTATGTATTTTGTTTACATGCAAATTGCCGGAAAGGCGAAAAGCATATGCAGTGTGCACTCTTCCGTGACAGTATAGCTTGGTCGTCAGAAACGATCAAACGACGAAGAAAAACCGTGGATTGTTTCATGAATCATTATCGGAAGAGCATTATTCCGGCTGAACATGTCAAGGGGAAATCATGGTCGTTGGAACGTGCATGTCAAATGATTTGTTTGTGAACTGTTGTCAAGATATAATCAGCACTAAGCTGAACATCACGGTCGGCTCTAAACAGTCAAGTCAAAATAAAACTAACTTCTTCCATGACGTGCAAGTAGATTAATTAATACTAATTTGTTTCCTTCAACAACTACTGATCGATCGATGCACTTGTGTAAACAATTATCAGACGATCAAATAGCTAGCAACTGCAATTACAATCTGAACTCACACACACTTTGTCCATCTCCTAAGTCCTAACCTACTTTGCTACTCGTTGTTGCTACTGGTAGCCATTGCGCTAACAAACCCCTCTGCTAGCTAAGCTTATATAAAGCCTGGGATCTTCCACAACACTTCATCACAATCTCGACATCTAGCAGCATCCAGTCTAAACACTAAAAAGATCAAAGTATCAAACTTGACCAAGAGAAAACAATATTGTGTTGTAGCTTAGAAGTGATAAGTCACACTTGAGATGATGGCGCCTTCGCGTCCAATGGCTAGTGCCGTCCTCTTGGTTGTGTGCACGTTGATGGCTTTGCAGGCAATGGGGGCGGACGCGTACTACAACAACGGCAGCGACGACGGCGTGACGATGCAGATGTTCGAGGAGTGGATGGCCAAGTTCGGCAAGACGTACAAGTGCCACGGCGAGAAGGAGCACCGCTTCGGCATCTTCCGCGACAACGTCCACTTCATCCGCGGCTACAAGCCGCAGGTCACCTACGACTCCGCCGTGGGGATCAACCAGTTCGCCGACCTCACCAACGACGAGTTCGTCGCCACCTACACCGGCGCCAAGCCGCCGCACCCCAAGGAGGCGCCCCGCCCCGTCGACCCCATCTGGACGCCCTGCTGCATCGACTGGAGGTTCAGGGGCGCCGTCACCGGCGTCAAGGACCAAGGCGCCTGCGGTAAGTAGCTCGCCGTCGCCGGCACCAACGACCGTATATATATATGGCGCTAGCTAGCTGTTGCTCACCGTCACGGATGCATGCAGGGTCTTGCTGGGCGTTCGCGGCGGTGGCGGCGATCGAGGGGCTGACGAAGATCAGGACGGGGCAGCTGACGCCGCTGTCGGAGCAGGAGCTGGTGGACTGCGACACCAACAGCAACGGGTGCGGCGGCGGGCACACGGACCGGGCGTTCGAGCTGGTGGCGTCCAAGGGCGGCATCACGGCGGAGAGCGACTACCGGTACGAGGGGTTCCAGGGGAAGTGCCGCGTGGACGACATGCTGTTCAACCACGCGGCGCGCATCGGCGGGTACCGCGCCGTGCCGCCCAATGACGAGCGGCAGCTGGCGACGGCGGTGGCGAGGCAGCCGGTGACGGTGTACATCGACGCGAGCGGGCCGGCGTTCCAGTTCTACAAGTCCGGGGTGTTCCCGGGGCCGTGCGGGGCGTCGTCAAACCACGCGGTGACGCTGGTGGGTTACTGCCAGGACGGCGCGTCGGGGAAGAAGTACTGGGTCGCCAAGAACTCGTGGGGAAAGACGTGGGGGCAGCAGGGCTACATCCTGCTGGAGAAGGACGTCCTGCAGCCGCATGGCACGTGCGGCCTCGCCGTCTCACCATTCTACCCCACCGTCTAGCCGGCCATATACATATATCGATCGCAGCTAGCCGCATGCCGGCCGTCATCCTCAGCCAGTTCTTCTTCTTTTTCCTCGCCGTTAGTTACAACAAGTTGGAATAATTAAGGAATAATGATCGAGTAGCGTTTGCGAGGTTAACTATTGAAATGAGTGAATGGTCCTGTTTGTTCGATGTTTAATGCGCTGGATTTCCCTTGAAAAGTACACATGATAATGACATACGTACTGGTGGTTAATGTACGTGCCGTCTCATTTTGTTTCTTTCAGCGGTTTGTCGTCGCCCCATGTTCGCGTCCGTTGCGCCGCGCGCATGCATGCACAAACCGCCGCTCTTCACACCCACACTGACGACCAACACCCCGGCGCACAAATGTTGCTGGGAGTGGCATATTCCTTTTGCATATCACTTAGATAGTTATGAAAAAAATTAAAAAAATATATATTAACATGTGATATATCACTTTAAATTAAAAGTTTTAAATATGAGTTATAAAAAAATTAAATTAAAGTTGAAATTTTAAATTAGAGTTTTAAATGTTACTGAAAAAAAAAACAATCGATCGCTGATTACGGTCTAAATACTCGAGAAAAGAAAAAACAAATCAGCACTAATTGTGCTAATCCGCACTACAAATCGTGGATTTTTTTTCGATTTTCACTCATATTAACGGCACTGCTGCGCGCTGTGGTAGCGAAACGTGTACGTACGTGTGCACCAAAAGCCAATCTCGCGCTTACGCGCTAATTATTTTTCTCGCGTAACACATCCGTCGTCTTTGCCATTTGCTAATTAATTTGAGTGCCTCGCAGGCCGTCCCCAAAAATCACGAGTCCCCGGCCATGAAACCCCAAGCATCCGCGCCACGCCGAGCCGACGCGATGGTCCCGGGGATGCATGCTCGCGTCGCTCGGCGCAGCCAACCTCGTCCGCGCACCTTCGCGCTCCTCACGGCCTGCCTCGCATTGCCGCTTTATTTTGTTGTGCTAGCCGGCCAAGCCCAAGCCCACTCCCTCCTCGCCCACCTTAGCGTACGTCCTGGACCCCTTCGACGAGACGACTGCACGTCTGCATGCTCCTCCCTCGGCTGAAAGGCCTTCTACAACGACCCAGCAGATTAGCAGGAGCGAGTTGTACGAGCGCGGCTCGGAGGTTACGTACGTGCCTCTCGATAGCACTATCGAGATGGAGAACCTGGGCGACGCATAAAGGAAAGGTAAGAGAGCTAGATTGATCATCTCGATCTTGTTCATATCTATCTATTATATTATATTATATTATTTAAAGGAATAGAAAAAAAGGAGCCTCCACGTTCGCTCTCGTGGCCTAGAAATTCTCACATTAATCGGAGAAAAAGAAAAGATAGAGTCCATATAGAAATACAATCTAGAAATAGCTGAAACTCGGAATTAAAAAATAAGGAATATTAGAATAGGAGACTAGAGTCCATATAGAAATACAATTAGAAAATAACTAAAATTCAGAATTAAAAATAAGGAATATTAGAAGCAGAGTATAGAGTCCATATAGAAATACAATTAGGAAATAACTGAAATTTGGAATTAAAAATAAGGAATATTAGAAACAGAGTACAGAGTCCATATATAAATACAATTACGAAATAGTATAAATTTGGAATTAGAAATAAGGAATAGAAGTAGAGTACAGTGTCCATATAGAAATACAATTAAGAAAAAAAATAGAAATTCGGAATTAAAAATAAGGAATATTAGATGAGTATAGAGTCCATATAGGAATTTAAAACTAACTAAAATTTGGAATAAACATAATAAAATTAAAAGTAGAGTTTAGAGTCCGTATAAAAATACAATTTATAAATAACTAAAATTTGAAATTAAGAAAAATATGGGAAGAAGAGTTTAAAGTCAATATAGGAATACAAATAGAATTAACTGAAATTCGAAATTAAAAATTAAAGAATATTGAAAGATGAGTTTAGAGTCCACGTAGAAATACAATTAGAAATAATAAAAATTTAGAAATAAAAATAAATAATATTGGAAGAAGAGCATAGAGTCTATATAAAAATACAAAATTCAGAATTAAAAAAAATATTAAAAGACGAGTTTAGAGTCCATATAGAAATATATATAATTTACAAATAACTAAAATTTGATATTAAAAATAATTAATAACTAACACGTATATAAAATATTATATGAATATTACACGTTAGTAGTTTTGTAAAGTTATTCCAAAATTTGAAATTATGTTGTCATTTTAATATATTTGAATAATATAATGAGAAAACATATATGCTATTATACGAGAGAAAATATAATGATGCTAGCCGCGCAATCCGCGCGGGCCACCATACTAGTTAGTTTTTATAACGGCTCCTAATGAGGAGCGCTCACAGATATTACTTAAAATTTATTAAATAGCTATTTCATTATCTTAAGACTTTGAAAGACCAAACCTTATCATCCCCGTATTTCTAATTATATAGTTTTTAAAAGTCGCATCAGCTGCTACCCCTTACTTACTTCTATCATATCCTTCTTTATTTGCTTGCTTGATATACCACTATTTTTATTCATTATCCTTGAAACCTTTAAAAATTGGATGTTATAATTTCTAGAGTTTATTGTCTCGTTGGGTTTTGTTTTTATAATTTCTAGAAGTCCCTTCAAACGCTACCATTATACTCCTCTATGGCCCGTCCACCGTCTTTTCTCTTTATTGTCATTGGGATTTTAAAATCGAACATAATTATCGTTCGGGTTTTTTACTTTTTAGAAGTCCCGCCAAACTGTTAGCGGCTTTCCCATTGTACTCCTTTATGGCTTACCCGTTGCCTCCCTTTTTTATTGTTATTGAGATTTTAAAATCGAATATGATTATCATTGGTTTTTCTTGTACTATTTAGAAGTTCCGAACCATAAAAATTTGGATCTTGTAGCTTTTAGATTTTATTGTCTTGTTGGGTTTCATTTTTTATAATTTTTAGAAGTCTCGTCAAACGATGCCACTATACTCCTCTACGGCCCATCCACCGCCTACTCTTTATTATCATTGGATTCTAAAAATCAAACATAACTATCGTTGGAATTCATTTTTTATTTTCTAGAAGTCCTGCCAACCGTCGGCAACTCTGCAGCTATACTCCTATACACCCCGCCCGCTGCTTCTCCTTTTCATCGCCATTGAGATTTTAAAAATCGAATATGATTATCAATGGGGTTTATTTTTTTACTTTCTAGAAGTTCTGGCAACCGACTTGCTCGTTTGCTTCACGGCCTGCCTGTCATCCCTCCTTTTAATCGTCATTAGGATTATATTTGGTGTTTTCTTGACAGTTCTTATATGTCATATCAACCACCACTACTCTACTTCTTTATAGGCTTAATACTTTTTTTTATCTCGTCATGTGTTTCAGATGGTATTTTTCTTTCAATAGTCTTTATTTTTTATCACCAATTTTAGTTATTTATAAATTGTATTCCTAATTGAAATCTTTTTTTCTTTTTCTAATTTTAGAATTTATTTTTTTCAATTTTTAATTAATACCATATAGTGTTCTTTTAATATTTTTTATTTTTTTTGAATTTCAGTTGTTTCAAAATTGTATACCTACATGAACTCTCTTTATTCTAATTTTGGATATTATTTTTTTTTATTCTAAATTTTATTAATCTCGTATTGGGTTATTATATGGATTCTTCTTTCAATACTCCTTATTTTTAATTTTGAATTTCAGTTAATTTTAAATTGTATTCCTACTTGAACTCTTCTTTTATTTTTGCTAATTTCGGATTTTTTTTATTCCGAATATTAATTAATGTCATATTGGGTTCTTATATGGACTCTTCTCTCAATATTCCTTATTTTTAATTCTGAATTTCAGTTATTTTTAAATTATGTTCCTACTTGGATTCTCCTTTTCTTTTCTAATTTTGGATTTTATTTTATTTTTATTCTGAATTTTGATTAATCTTATATTGGGTTCTTATATGTATTTTTATTTCAATATTACTTATTTTTAATTCTTAATTTCAGCTATTTCTAAATTGTATTTTCTACTTGAACTTTTATTTTCTTTTTCTCTGATTAATATGGGAATTTCTAACCCTCACAGCGAACGTGATGTCTAATTTCAAAGCTGTTTTAACAATATATACAATAGATACAACTGGAGGTATGAGTATACGCACGAGTCGAAAGCACCATGGACGGCATCGAGCATAGGTGGACATCTACGATAAATGACATTTCGGAGCGAGGGGAGCGACGACGTCATGGAGACCGGCATGAATCTTTTTTTTTCCGAAAAAGAGAAACAAACAAAAACAAGCATTCATTTCATTAATTAATCTCTCAAACGCAAGTACGTATAACTCGACAATTATTCCTTATTCCACGTGAGGAATTAACGGGAGGGATAAGAGGAAGAGAAGATGCTAGAGGGGGAGGACGACGCCAGTGGCAATCGAGGTCGACGAGGTGGCCGGCTAGCTAGCTACTAGACGGTGGGGTAGAAAGGTGAGACGGCGAGACCGCAGGTGCCATGCGGCTGCACGATATCCTTCTCCAGCAGGATATAGCCCTGCTGCCCCCACGTCTTACCCCACGAGTTCTTGGCCAGCCAGTACTTCTTCCCCGACGCGCCGTCCTGGCAGTAACCCACCAGCGTCACCGCGTGGTTGGACGACGCCCCGCACGGCCCCGGGAACACCCCGGACTTGTAGAACTGGAACGCCGGCCCGCTCGCGTCGATGTACACCGTCACCGGCTGCCTCGCCACCGCCGTCGCCAGCTGCCGCTCGTCGTTGGGCGGCACGGCGCGGTACCCGCCGATGCTCGCCGCGTGGTTGAACAGCATGTCGTCCACGCGGCACTTCCCCTGGAACCCCTCGTACCGGTAGTCGCTCTCCGCCGTGATGCCGCCCTTGGACGCCACCAGCTCGAACGCCCGGTCCGTGTGCCCGCCGCCGCACCCGTTGCTGTTGGTGTCGCAGTCCACCAGCTCCTGCTCCGACAGCGGCGTCAGCTGCCCCGTCCTGATCTTCGTCAGCCCCTCGATCGCCGCCACCGCCGCGAACGCCCAGCAAGACCCTGCATGCAACCGTGACGGTGAGCACAACAGCTAGCTAGCGCCATATATATATTCGGTGGTTGCCGGCGACGGCGGGCTACTTACCGCAGGCGCCTTGGTCCTTGACGCCGGTGACGGCGCCCCTGAACCTCCAGTCGATGCAGCAGGGCGTCCAGATGGGGTCGACGGGGCGGGGCGCCTCCTTGGGGTGCGGCGGCTTGGCGCCGGTGTAGGTGGCGACGAACTCGTCGTTGGTGAGGTCGGCGAACTGGTTGATCCCCACGGCGGAGTCGTAGGTGACCTGCGGCTTGTAGCCGCGGATGAAGTGGACGTTGTCGCGGAAGATGCCGAAGCGGTGCTCCTTCTCGCCGTGGCACTTGTACGTCTTGCCGAACTTGGCCATCCACTCCTCGAACATCTGCATCGTCACGCCGTCATCGCTGCCGTTGTTGTAGTAGGCGCTCGCTGCCATTGCCTGCAAAGCCATCAACGTGCACACAAGCAGTACTATGCTAGTCATCGGACGCGAAGGCGCCATCATCTCAAGTGTGACTTATCAGTTCTAAGCTACAACACAATATTGTTTTCTCTTGGTCAAGTTTGATACTTCGATCTTTTTAGTGTTTAGACTGGATGCTGATAGATGTCGAGATTGTGATGAAGTGTTGTGGAAGATCCCAGGCTTTATATAAGCTTAGCTAGCACCTAGCAGAGGGGTTTGTCTTACTAGTAATAGCAATGAGTAGCAGAGTAGGTTAGGAGATGGACCAAGTGAGTGATTGTAATAGCAGTTGATGGCTGTTTCATCGATCCTCTGATAATTGTTTACACAAGTGCATCAATCGATCAGTAGTTGTTGCAGGAAACAAATTAGGAGTATTAATTAATCTACTTGCACATCATGCATGGAATGAGTTAGTTTCATTCTGACTTGACTGTTTAGATCCCACCGTGATGTTCAGTTTAGTACTGATTAATCTTGACAACAGTTCATAAACAAATCATTTGACATGCACGTTCCAACGACCTTGATTTTCCCTGGACATGTTCATCCTAAATAATGCTTCCGATCGATATCATGATTCATGTAACAATCCACAATTTTCCTTCCCGTTTGATCGTTTCTGATGATCAAGCTAATGTTAGGGTAGAGTGCATTACATGCTTTTCGACCACAATTTGCATGCAAACAGAATACAGAAATTAATTAATGACACCTGTATGATTTGTAGTGTCAAATATACAGAACGCAACACTTGCTTTCTCAAGCTAAATGATGGGATCGAGTATATAAGCACAGTATGCTTACATAACACTAGTGGAGAAACTATATTTGGTCGGTCGACCAAATTCCACAATAGTTCCGGTTCCATTAAAACCAGAACTAAAACCGATTTTTAGTCCCAGTTAAAAAAATTTTGATCTTTAGTCCAGCTGGTTCATCCCCTGTCAGAGACATGTCAGGGGGCCGAAGATCTTTAGTCCTGGTTGATACTACCAACCGGGACTAAAGATTACTACTTTAGTCCCGGTTTGCAGTATCAACCGGGAGTAAACATCATTTAGATCTTTAGTCCCGGTTGGTAATATCAACCGAGACTAAATATCTATCTTTAGTCCCGGTTGGAGTTATCAATCGGGAGTAAATATTTCTCTTTCACATCTGATCGGTTAAGTCCAGTCAAGACTTTCCTCCTCACTGAGATATTTAGATAACATTAGATCATCCCCTCTCTTTCTCTTCTCAGATCCGATCACCTTCCTCCTCCCCTCCCCTCTCCTCCTCCCCCTCCTCCCCTTCCTCCTCCCCTTCCTCCTCCTCCCCTCTACTCCCTCCCATCAGCCGGCGGGCGGCGGTGGTGCCGCCACGCGCATGCAGGCGGGCAGCGGGCGACGCGGCTGCGCACGGGCAGGCGGGCGGTGGCGGGCAGGCGGCCGGCGGCCGGCGGTGGCGCAGCCGCGCGCGGGCAAGCGGGAGGTGGGCGGCGCGGCCGCGCGCAGGCAGGCAGCCGGCGGGCGACGGCGGCGAGCGGCGGCCGGTCCGTTTGGTTTTTTTTATATATAATTTGTGATTCACTGGATGTATATTTTTTTTTAGAATTTGTGATTCATTGCATTGCATGGATCTGTGATGTATTTAATTTGTGTGTAATTTTTTTAGGATTTGTGATGTATTTGATCTGTGTGTATAAGTAACTTCAGATTTAGGATATTGATTCGGGGATGTGCATCCTACTTGATTTGGGAGAAAATACAAAGATTAACTCTAGCCAAGCAAATCAACAATGAAAAAAAAAAGAAAAGGGACCTCGAGGGACTGCCGCTACCCCTCTTTAGTCCCGGTTGATAACATCAACCGAGACTAAAGATTCCCCTCTTTAATGACTCCCTATTGGTGTTACTAACCGGGACTAAAGATCGATCTTTAGTCTCGGGTATTTGAACCGGGACTAAAGATAGTGATGATCTTTAGTCCAGAATTTATAGTCTCGGTTGGAAAACCGGGACTACAAAGGGTTCTAAACCGAGAGTAAAGAGTATTTCTCCACCAGTATAAACACAATTGCATAAGGAGTATTCCTCTCATAATATAGTAACATAGTATTAGATATGATAAATCCTAGCTATTAAGTATGTATTGGACCTCATGATCAAATTCATAGTATTAGGGAGGATATTTCTCATTTGGTAATGTTTCTATATTTTGGGATGAATGGGGTGAATGTAGTATTACTTATTAGTCGATTAGATGACGATCAGTCGGGCAGGTAGTTGGTGAAATCGCACGCGACCAATTCGTTCAAAATCATACGTAGGGTCTCTCTCGGATAAGGGCTGGCATGTATGCATATGTTCATATTTTGTATGGTTCCAACTTCCAAATCACCAATCGATCGATGGCCAGCTAGCAAACACACTCAAGTGTTTAGACCATTAATTTGATGATTACAAGCTGCACTCTCCATATACTCCCTCCGTTTCAAAATGTTTGACGTCATTGGCTTTTTAGCATATGTTTGACCGTTCGTCTTATTCAAAAAATTTAAGTAATCATTAATTCTTTTCCTATCATTTAATTCATTGTTAAATATATTTTTATGTAGGCATATAATTTTACATATTTCACAAAAACTTTTGAATAAGACAAACGATCAAACATATGCTAAAAGGTCAACGGTGTCAAACATTTCGAAACCGAGGGAGTATATGATATCAAGCAACTTTTAATTGGTTGGCAACTACTGTGTAGACGTTGACGACAACAATTATGCGAATCTCACTGGAGTTGGCACTGGCAGCAGCAGGTTTGATCAGTTCGATGCGTTTACGCAGTCGATCGATTTCGTCGCAGATTTAGTCATCATCCAATAGGGAATCGTATATATAGAAACGGTTATTTTCGCCTACCTGATCGACGATGGGTACAACGTAACCGAAATTTAAGGGGAAACTATAGTTAATGGGAGTACCTATACATCTTTCGAAAGATTTTTATAATCGTATCACACAGATTTTTAATCTTTGAATTAAAATCCGATAGATATAATAAAAAGCAAAAGACAATTAAGAAACACCATAATGGACACTAAATTACCATATCCTCAAGAAAAAGACCAAATCCAATACAAAATTTAAAATTTGCGTGCGAAGATTCAAAAATTACAGTGTAACTTACAAAAGTTACAGTGTAATTTTCATAAATTACACTGTAACTTACAAGAAAATGCAATGTAAAATTGAGAGAGAAAATCGAGTGATAGATAAGAAAAAATCTTTCGAGTGAGATATAGCAAAATCGATAGTTAATCATAGTACTACAAGTAGCATTACGATAACGGTATACAAACTTATACGTACTCCAATCTTACGCACTATGTACAGCGTGTACTTAGGCCGGCGATCGAGTAGGTTAGTAATTAATTAGATATTGATCAGTCTGAAACAATCTCTCTGAAGTGTTCGCTCTCTTGGATCGGTTTGAAAGATTCAGTCGGTCTCGCCTACACGCTGTCAGTGTGTAAATGATCAGTTCGAGCTAGCGAGATGTTGCCAGGTCAGCAAATTAGTTCTCAAATTCCACTAGCCACCGGTAGTTATTAGTGCCTGCATTACAAACAGTGCAGACTGGCAGTACAGTGCTGGTTATTGTGATGTCTCTTGCATTAAAAAAACGTTTAATTACCTAACAAATTACCAAATGAAAGTGGAGCTGTGGAGCTGTGGAGCTGAATAAGTTCTAATTGTATACTTGCACTGGTAGAAATTTACACACAGGCCATGCTGGCATATATTTTTTTAAATGATGGGATATCATTCCTGCCTTTACTTAAGGTGCTACAACCAATTATAACAAAAAATCAGCCAAAAGCGTTCACAAAATAGCGAGTTCACAACCACACTCTAACCAAATATTAAGCAAAATAGCATTGTGCTTTCAGTGGTAGGCGACGTACCCGTCGACAGCGAGGCGCCTGTGGTGACTTCGTCAATCTCTCCAGAATCTGCCGGCCCAGTCTTCGAAGATGCTCATAGGGGTAGGGTTTGCGTGCGTGTGTTCATAGGGGTGAGTGCGCGTGCGTTGTGAGTGTCTGCGTTGTACTGTGTAATTCTAAAAAAAAATATTAAGCAAGCACACGCTAATAAAAACCAACACAAGATAATGAAAACATAATTATTGAATTCTATTTGTGAATCTCTACCCGAAGTTGGCAAAAAGTTGTATAACCATTGACTCAAGTTTACGACATACATTATTAATTAGCATGATATTCTCATCAGACCTTTGTAATTGGGCACAACACCGGAGCCAATACGTTATACGTTGCCCAGAAAAGTACCTGCAAATAAGATTTTGATAAAGATTTATCAAAACCATATCATTATATACGGTCACGCTACATAGAGCGACACATAGGCGTAGCGCGCTAGGAAACTACGTAGCGCCTCTCACAGCAAGTGATCTCCTCCTATTTTTCCGTTTCTCCTTCGTCTCTTCTTTTTGCTTCCGGGTTTCCCACCGCTCCTCCCTGCTCGCTTGCATGCACGTTCCGTTTGTAGGTAAAATATTTACTTTCTGGTTAGGCAATGTAAAAAGCACGGTCGATCAGTAAAAGTTAATCTCCTTAAGTTAAAATTTTACTCTCCCAATAAGGCCTGAGTAAAAAATAGTATTAATTAATCTACTTGTACATCATGGAAGAAGTTAGTTTCATTCTGACTTGACTGTTTAGAGCCGACCGTGATGTTCAGCTTAGTGCTGATTATATCTTGACAACAGTTCACAAACAAATCTATCACTTGATATGCACGTTCCAACGACCATGATTTCGTCTTGACATGTTCAGCCTGAATAATGCTCTTCCGATAATAATGATTCATGAAACAATCCACGGTTTTCTTCGTCGTTTGATCGTTTCTGACGACCAAGCTATACTGTCACGGAAGAGTGCACACTGCATTCTTTTCGCCTTTTCTTCAATTCGCATGTAAACAAAATACATAAATGTGAAAGTGCCAAGAGCCTCAGTAGCACCTGAGGTCCTGGGTTCGACTCCCCATGGGAGCGAATTTTCCAGGATTTAACGGCGTTGTGTTTTCAGTGGTAGGCGACGTACCCGTCAACAACGAGGCGCCTGTGGTGACTTCGTCAATCTCTCCAGAATTTGTTGGCCCAGTCTTCGAAGATGCTTATAGGGGTAGGGTTTGTGTGCGTGTGTTTATAGGGTGAGTGCGCGTGCGTTGTGAGTGTCTGCGTTGTACTGTGTAATTCTAAAAAAAAACATAAATTAATGACTTTTATATGATTTGTATATATATTGTCAAATAAATGAAAAATGCACTGTCGAAACAAGATTTCGGCAATACTAAAAGGGGGTGGCTATCAAGCTGGAAAAGTGGATGGGTTAAGAGACAAGAAATTTTATACAGGTTCAGGCCTTCTTAATCAAGAAGTAATAGCCTACTCCTGTCCGGGGATTAATCCGCCGAGTGTATTATTGATCGTATGATCTGGGTGAAAACCGTGCCCCTAGAGGCACCCAGACCCCTCCTTATATAGGGGAAGGGGTCCTGTCCGGGGATTAATCCGCCGAGTGTATTATTGATCGTATGATTTGGGTGAAAACCGTGCCCCTAGAGGCACCCGGACCCCTCCTTATATAGGGGAAGGGGTCCGTATTACAAAATACAGTCCATATCCCTAACGGAATATGTAGTTACAGATAAAATACAATCGTAACCGACTAGGACCTTGGTTATTTCCTTGACATACAAGTTTAGAATTTAACCCGAGTCCTCTTAAAGATATTCTAGCTATATATGACACCCCATACCCAATCAGACTATACATGCCGTGTAGGTATGGGGTATCCATAATCCCCACATGCACATTACGCAACACTTGATACTTCCTCACGCTAAATGTTGGGATCGAGTATAATTAAAGCACAGTCTGCTTACGTAAACACAGTGGCATATGGAATATTACTTGGTCGATTAGTACATAACGATCAGTCGGGCAGGTAGTTGGTGAAAACGCACTCGACCAATTCGTTCAAAATCGTCGTACATAGGGTCTCTCTCGGATAAGGGCTGGCATGCATGCATATGTTCGTATTTAGTATGGTTTCAGCTTCCAAATCACCAATCGATCGGTAGCCAGAAAACAATGCAAGTGTTTAAACCGTTAATTAATTTGATTAATTACAAGCTGCACGCTCCATATGATGTCTAGCAAAGTAGCAATTTTAATTGGTTGGCAACTACTGTGTCGATGTTGACGACACCAACTGTGCAAATTCGAATCCCACACTGGAGTTCGGTACCCATACTACTGGAGAAAAAGGCTTTACTCCCGGTTGGAAACCCCCCTATAGTCCCGGTTATACAACCGGGACTATGAATCTGGGACTAAATATACCCATCTTTAGTCCCGGGTGAATAACGAGGACTAAAAATCCATCTTTAGTCCCGGTTGATAACACCAACCAGGACTAAAGATGGTGGGAGTAGTCCTGGTTGATCCCTATTTTTTTTCTTTTTTTTGTTATTTCTTTACTCATATCAATCTGCTCCCTAAATATCCCCGATCATATCCCCAAATCATCCACAAATCAATGTAGCATCACAGATCTGGAAAGAAATGCATCACATATTGGAAAGAAATGCATCACAGATTACAAATACATCACATCACAAAATCTCAAACAAAAAATATATCACAACTCAAATACATCCCAGATCAGATCCAATATCACATACATCACAGATCAAATCCAATGAATCAAAAATTCAAAAAAAAAATCCGGCAGCAGAGGGGAGGAGCCGGTTCAGCCGGCCGGCCGCTGCGCCCGCCCGCCAGCCCGCCGCGCCCAGACGCCCGGCCGCCGCCGCTCCCGCCGGGCCGCCGCTACCGCCCACCTAGCCGCCGCTCAGAGAGGGTAAGGGGAGGAACGGGAGGGGAAGGGGAGAGGAAGGGATGGAGAAGGAGTAATGAGAGGGGAGGAGATCGAGAGGAGTGCGCGCGGATAATATCGAGATGATGGCGCGCGGTTCGGGGTACTCTTTCTCCCGATTGGTATAAGCAACCGGGACTAAAGATCTATTTTTAGTCCTGGTTGTTTATACCAACCGGGAGTAAAAATAATTGGGGTCTGTCTTGAACCCGACAACTTCTTGAATCGGGACTAAAAATGATCATTTGTCCTGCTTGGTGTTACCAACCGGGACTAAAGATCAAAAAGTACCCCTCCACTTTTAAATCAGGACTAAATATGCTTTTTAGTCCCGGTTTTTATTAGAACTGGGACAATTGTGGAATTTCGCCAACCGACCAAAGATGGTTTCTCCACCAGTGCCACTAGCAAGCAGGTTTGACACAATATGCATGATCGCAGTACGATTCGTTTACCTAGTAGATCAATTTCGTCGCAGATTTTGTCATCATCCGATCCATATATAGGTGGAATCAAATTGATATATGGTTATTATTTTCGCCTAGTCGGTTTTCCTAATCCTATCGGGGGATCGATAACATCAAATTTTTTGGATATTGCTATAATTTAAGTCTGAAATAATTTGAACTCTTAAATATATTTGGTCAAATTGAAATAAATTTTTACCAAATCCAAAAAAGAAAAATTCCAAAAAAAAGAGGTCGAAATAGTTTCCTATATTGTGGCGGGGATTGATTGACCTAAAATTTCGGAATTTTAGACCCTAGCAATGGTCAATGCTAGCATTTGTACTTGATGATCACTCAAGATCCTCACGATAATTAGCAATGATCGACTTCAATGTTCTACTACACCGAAAAAACTATTTTATATAATAATGTGCGTCAATATATATGACAGCGTGGCCTGTGTAAAGTTCTGCATGTGCAAGAGTGTACAATTAGAACTTCTTCAGCTCAATATATTGCCACTGGAGTGTTTTTGTGTAAAGGCATTTTCATTTGGTAATTTGTTAGGTAATTAAGTTTTTTTTGTTGTAATGCAGAGCGAGACATCACAACAACCAGTACTAATAACTACCTGTGACTAGTGGAATTTGAGAACTAATTTCCTGACCTGGCAAAACATCACCCTCTAGCTCGAACGATGTTGTGCAGGTCATTTGTACTGACAGTGTGTAGGCGAGCGATATATTAAACCCTGATCATAGGTGATGTGCGTGTGTTTTTCAAGCATGGATGCAATTGAAGAATTAAAAAATAAGGATGTGCACCGTTGAGACAAAACGGTTTGGTCACTAGTTTTTTTAACCCCCTCAACCTCAAGCACATGGTTTGTTGCAAACTACTAAAATCATAAGCGTTCTTATATTCGGCAACCAAGATTTGGTTTCAACAAAATATTCAGCAACCAAGATATACGGGGACCTAGTTTATCCACGCCATATGCTGAACAGACCCATGCATCATTCAACTATAATGATTTATTAATCGTTACATATGACTAAAATCATAAGCTTGCTAAATTATGACCATGTTGGGTATAGGATCTTATGGTTGTTGTTGAATCCTTCGGAAGCATCTTAATATCGAAGGAAGTGTTCAATCTTTTTGAGGGAAAAGGAAGTGTTCAATCTGCCAATCACAACAAGGATGCTTCCTTGGAAAGGAGAAAATTGAAATGAGAGTTTCAAAGACATTGTACCTTTTGTGATATTTCCTGAAAACATGAATGGAAAATGTCATTCCCTATGAACTAAAGACGATCATTCCTTTGCCCCAAACAACATTAGTTGGTTGCAACTTAGCATAAAATTCAATTAATTTACTTAGTGCACTGACCAAACATCCTCATCTACTGAGAAAATTGTGATTTTGCTATCGCAAAAGGATGGATTCGCTGGAATACTAGCCCTTCAAAGTGATTCATTAAAATGCTATTCTAAACTAAGGGTGTTCACTGAAATGTTATTTTGGGTCTTTTTGGTTGCTAGAATAGCTCTATTTTCATTTTTGTTCTGACCAAAATACCCCTGATGCGGGCCCCACCTGTCATACTCACTCATCTCTCTTTTCCCCTCTCTCTCGGGAGCAGCGGTGGCCGGCTGCCACCGGCGGGCATGGGGAGGGCGCAGCAGGCGTGGCGGGGAGGCCGGCGTCGACCTAGCGAGCACCCCGACGTTTCGGCGACAGCCGCGGCGACCCAGCGGCGCGAGCGGATGAACATGGCGGCAGTGGTGGTGGCGCACGTCCCCGTCTTCCCGGCGCCGGGGGTGGTGTCGTGGCCACGGCGGCAGCGTCGGCGGCGGGGGCGTTCTTAGAGGTGCCGCCGGCGACGCCGTGCGCAGTGGCCATCGTGTCGGTGGCGCCGTGCCTGGCGCACGTCGCGGTGGTGGCGCCGCCCGTGCGGCCCGTGCCCGCGCCCACGGAGGCCCGCTGCGCGGCCTTCCTCCGCGGTGTCTCCCCCAGCGGCGGCGGCGGGGAGGGGTGCTTCTGCCACCTGCTCCGCAACTCGCTCCTCGGCTTCCCCGTCAACACCGCGAGGCTCGGTGCGCTCCTCCCCACCTGCGCCATCGCCAACGCCAACGCCTCCGCGGACTCCATTGTCGAGGCCGCCACGCTCTTCGCCGACACCTACCGAGGTCATTACCGAGGTTGCGGCGCGAGTGGACTGGGGCAGGAGGGAGGGGAGGAGCAGGTCGGAGAGTGGCGGGGCCGGCGCCGGAGCCGGACCCGATGCGGAGGCGCGACGATGTCGCCGCTGCCGATGTCGCTACTCCTCAGTTAGCTTCGATGCCGACGGGATGAGATCGATTCCATCTGGTAAAAACCTATCTGAGGCAAGGGTATTTTGGTCAAAACAAAAATGAAAATAGAGCTAAATCATTTCTAGTAACCAGAAAGACCCAAAATAGCATTTCAGTGAACACCCCTTAGTTTTGGATAGCATTTTAATGAATCACTTTGAGGGGATAGTATTCTAGCAAATCCATCCTTTTGCGATAGCAAAATCACAATTTTCTCTCGTCTACTCTTGCATACACAACACAACTACTCCCAAGTCCCCAAGTCCCAAGTCACAACTGACAACAAGGCAACTACTACTACTAGTAAGCATCAATGCATGGTCAAGAGGTCTATATAAACCTTGCTATGTAAGCATGTTTTCCACACAGAAGAAAAAGCATAAGCTACACGCACTAAGTACAGACAAGAGATCGACAAACATAATCTAATTAATCAAAATGGCTTCTTCCAAGCCTCTCCTTCTTGGGCTTCTCCTGTCCATCACTTGCCTCTTGCAGGTCCTACTGGCGGCGGCGAACCCTCAGCCGCCGCCGCCGCCGTCGTGCGACAAGTCCGACAAGGAGCTGAGGTTCATGTTCTCGCAGTGGATGGCCAAGTACGCGAAGCACTACTCGTGCCCGGAGGAGCAGGAGAAGCGGTACCAGGTGTGGAAGGGCAACACCAACTTCATCGGCGCGTTCCGCAGCCAGACCCAGCTCTCCTCCGGCGTTGGCGCCTTCGCGCCGCAGACCATCACCGACTCCGTCGTCGGCATGAACAGGTTCGGCGACCTCACCTCCACCGAGTTCGTCCAGCAGTTCACCGGGTTCAACGCCTCCGGATTCCACTCCCCTCCGCCGACCCCGATCTCGCCCCACTCCTGGCAGCCGTGCTGCGTCGACTGGCGCTCCAGCGGCGCCGTCACCGGCGTCAAGTTCCAAGGCAATTGCGGTAAGCTACATCGACATGCTCTCTGTCGTCTCTGCTAGCTCCGGCCAATTAATGCATTGCTGATTTGTTGGTTGGGTTGGAAACAATGGCAGCGTCGTGCTGGGCGTTCGCGTCCGCGGCGGCCATCGAGGGCCTGCACAAGATCAAGACCGGCGAGCTGGTGTCGCTGTCGGAGCAGGTGATGGTGGACTGCGACACCGGGAGCTTCGGCTGCAGCGGCGGCCACTCCGACACGGCGCTCAACCTGGTGGCGTCCCGCGGCGGCATCACGTCGGAGGAGAAGTACCCGTACACGGGCGTCCAGGGCAGCTGCGACGTGGGCAAGCTGCTGTTCGACCACTCGGCGTCCGTCTCCGGCTTCGCCGCCGTGCCGCCCAACGACGAGCGGCAGCTGGCGCTTGCCGTGGCGAGGCAGCCGGTGACGGTGTACATCGACGCGAGCGCGCAGGAGTTCCAGTTCTACAAGGGCGGCGTGTACAAGGGCCCCTGCAACCCCGGGAGTGTGAACCACGCCGTCACCATCGTCGGCTACTGCGAGAACTTCGGCGGGGAAAAGTACTGGATCGCCAAGAACTCGTGGAGCAACGACTGGGGCGAGCAGGGCTACGTGTACCTGGCCAAGGACGTGTGGTGGCCCCAGGGCACCTGTGGCCTCGCCACCTCCCCATTCTACCCCACGGTTTAATCCGCGTTCGTGTGCCCGGCTTTGCTTAAGTATACAGTGCTAGTGTCTAATCTGTCCGTGGATGAAGGCTCGGACGGCTGAGATTGATGGACTGTTGATAGTTTCTACCACCTGTTGTGAGAGTGTAATCATGAAAGACAATAAATCAATAATACAAATTCATTCCGCTTTGATTAAATAATGAAGTGGATTCTTGACTCGCTACAGCTGATCCTACCACTCTGAAGATGCTTGCATAAGGACCTGTTTGGTTGGTGACATGAGCATGCACCTGGCCTGAAAATTTTACATGTCTGATATAGGTTTTTTAAGAAGTTCTTAAATGTTACCTGGCTAGGTGCCCTGAAGCTTTGCTAGTTTGGTTTGTACCTGAGAAGGGAAAAAGTGATTTGTATGCGATAATGGGAAAAGTTTAAATAACCCCCTATTTCGTGTCTAACATCCTAAACTTTGAAACCGTACATTCAACCTCTAAACTTTACGATACCGTTTATATAACTCCTTAAGGTGATTTTGCATAGTGTTTTTATCTCTACTATTATAAAAATTGAAAATATTTTTACCAGTATTTTGGTACGTCATCCGTATTTGAGTTGGTTTTTAAGTTCGTTCGCTTTTGGAAATACAGATTCGTGTTTGAGTCGGATTTTAAGTTCTTTTGCTTTTGGAAAAACAAAAGGAATCGTATAAGAAATCTCTTTAAAAAAACTTACATGCTAACTTGAGATGAAAGTCGGACTCCTAATTGCGTCTCATAATTTTCTAAAAAAAAATATCCAAGTGAATTCCCATAGTAAGTATCATCATGCTAAACCGTATAACAATAATAAGATTAAAATAGCATTCAACCGTTGCAACGCACGGATATTTTTTTCTAGTCCAATTTATATATAAGTTGAATGAGTTTGATCATGTGACATATAAATTGGACATATATATTAAAATCTTGACTTAAATCTTTATTTTTACTCCTTATTACCTCTCACTTACAAACAATTACTAACATAATAATAATATATAATAGTAGTATGATATCACTGTATATGCATAAATTAATGACTAACAACCAATAATATACAAATGCCCTTGTATGATGGTTATACAAACGACAGAGATTTTGAGAAGTTTAGTAAGTTGGTGGAAGATTGTCAGATGCCCTTGTATGATGGATGCAAGTCGTAGCACAGCAAGTTGTCATGCGTGTTGGAACTCATGAAGCTTAAGGCTAGTAATGGCTGGTCGGACAAGAGTTTTACAGAACTTCTTGAGCTGTTAAAGGACCTGTTGCCAGAGGGGAACAATTTACCACAGACGACATATGAAGCAAAGCAAGTATTATGTCCATTGGGCCTAGAGGTCAGAAGAATTCATGCATGTCCGAACGACTGCATTTTGTATTACAAGGAATACGCTGACTTCGATGTCTGCCCTGTCTGTGGGGCATCAAGATACAAACGAGCAAAGAGTGAAGGTGAAGGAAGTAAGTCAAAGAGGGGAGGCCCCGCAAAGGTGGTGTGGTATCTCCCAATTGCGGAGCGCATGAAGAGAATGTTTATGAATAGGGAACAAGCTAAGCTATTGCGCTGGCATGCCGAGGAACGGAAAGTCGATAGTATGCTGAGGCACCCAGCAGATTCAGTACAGTGGAGGACAATCGATAGGATTTACCAGGAATTCTCAAAGGACCCAAGAAACATGTGTTTCGCAATGTGTACGGACGGCATTAATCCATTTGGTAATTTGAGCAGTCCTCATAGTACATGGCCAGTTCTGCTTGTTAACTATAACCTTCCTCCCTGGTTGTGCTTCAAAAGAAAGTATATTATGCTTGCCATGCTCATTCAAGGACCGAGACAACCTGGCAACGATATCGATGTATTCCTTGAACCGATAATCGCTGACTTCGAAAGGCTATGGAATGAGGGAACACGAACATGGGACGCATATGCACAAGAGTATTTCAACCTCCATGCGATGCTGTTTTGTACCATCAACGATTATCCGGCCCTTGGCAACCTTTCTGGCCAAACTATGAAAGGGAAATGGGCGTGTTCAGAGTGTATGGAGGAAACAAGAAGCAAATGGTTGAAGCATTCACACAAGACGGTCTACATGGGTCACAGGAGATTTCTCCCAAGGTATCACCCGTATAGGAATATGAGAAAGAATTTCAATGGACACAGAGATACAGCCGGACCCCGGGCAGAGCTAACAGGGACAGAGGTGCACAACTTAGTGATGGGAATAATCAACGAGTTTGGAAAAAAGAGGAAAGTTTGAAAGACAAAAGAGAAGAGCTTGTCGAAGGACAAAACAGAGAAGCGTGTGGAAAAACAAAAGACAAAAGAGAGGAGCATGTGGAAAAAGAAGTCAATATTTTGGAGACTACCATACTGGAAGGATCTTGAAGTTCGCCACTGCATAGATTTAATGCATGTAGAGAAGAATGTATGCGAGAGTTTAATGGGATTACAGCTTAACCCAGGTACTACAAAGGATGGTGACGGAGCTCGTGGCTCCTCACCGGGAGACCGCGCAGGCCCCCCTTTGCCAGTTCGGCCGGGGGCTTAGGGTGAAATCTCAAGCTCTCGCTCTCCCTCTGTATCTGGAAAGATCGTCTGCCCGCAAGACACACGAGACACGGCGATGTATACAGGTTCGGGCCGCTGCGAAGCGTAATACCCTACTCCTGTGTTTTTGTGGATTTGTGTATGAATGAGCTACAAAGTGTGAGCCAACTTCTCCCCCGTTCTAAGCTCTAAATCTGGAAAAGGATCAAAAAACCCCCTCTCTATGGGCAAGGTCCTCCTTTTATACTTCAAGGGGATACCACATGCACCCTTCCCTTTCCAAACTGGACTTTTCTTCTCTTTATGGACGGAGATTGGTATGGTTGCTGTCCGAATGACACTCCGATGGGACAGCCCACACCTACCTCCACTCCCGGCGGAGACAGGCGCAACGTGGGATCGTGGCTGCCCGTTGCTGACGCGACCAGTGCCAGACCGGTCATTCTTGTCCACCACGTGTCAGTTTAACAACATGCATGTTTGCCCTTCCTTGTGTAACACCTTGCCTGTAATGGTTAGGATGAAGCCTGGTATATATCGATCGGGGTTAACGTGCCATCTCTGGGATGTAACACGCTAGCTCCAGCTGGGGACGAGTGCTTAGAAGCTCACACCTTGACGGGATGGGGTAAGGCGTGCGTCAGACCGCCAGTCGCCACCTAACCCGTGATCTGACCGGTCTGTGACTGGTCACAGACTGGATAAAGGAACGCGCCGTACTGCGCTGCATGCAGCGTGACACGCTTGTCCAGACTGCAATAAATGCTGTTAGGTGAGCACAGCTGTGCTCACTTATCCCATATATGTGGCGCAGACTTCCTTAAGGGGGTCGGGGTGCCTCGGCCCTCGGGGCCGGGGCAAGCGCAACCCGACCCCCCCTCGGGGGAAATCAGGAGGAGGGCGGACACCTCACCCTCGGGCCCGACGTCCCCGAAGGTGCCAGGCCACGTGGGCGATTGTGTCTGCCTCAAGCCTCTAGTCATGATACTCCCGGTCCCATATCACCGACAGTAGCCCCCGGCGTTATGCCAGAGCAATTTCCCTTCCCAAGGGAAGCGGTCAGGTGTGACGCCACCCTGTGACAGGTGGGACCGGTCTCCGTAGTTGGGCAAAATACCCAACGGTCTCAATCCATGCACATTGGTATTGGTAACTTTGGTTGTCCATAATGGGCGGTCTATTCAAGACTGCCACACCACTTGAGCAGCGCGCGAATCTGGGTGAGCAGATTTGTCTCGCCCGGAGATATGGTAACGCCGCTTCGGTCGGCGAGCGTAATTAACGCGCGCACGATACAATCCATTTCGATTGCCACAACCGCATATCCACTCAATGCGCCGTAAGCGGGCGAATGGGATTAGTGGAAGCGTGGGCACGGGAAACGAGGGAGCGAGATAGCGAGATACGAGGGAGCGAGGTAGTGGGCGCGAGAAACGAGGAGTCAGGCCCAGCGATGGCAAGGGTATAAAAGCATTGAGAAAAGGATTTGCTTCCTTCCTTTCGCCATTGTTCCTCTTGCCTTCGCCACCTGAGCTCTAACTCTTTCTCTGCTACGCCCTATTTTCGCCACACGCGCTCGTTCTCAATCATCTCTTCCTCCGCCGCCATGGCACGGGGCTCTGCTCTGCTCGACGGCAGTGTACTACCGCCTTCCCGCATCGTGAATGAGAGGCACGCCGGACTGCCGCGCCGCTTCATGCCGGAGTCCGCCACCGGTCGGGAGATAGTGATGCTGGGCGAGGGGCGCCCGGCACCAGACTACCCGGGGCGGTCCATCTTCTTCCTCCCCTTCGCGATGGCTGGGCTGGTCCCGCCATTTTCTCATTTCTTCATGGATGTCCTGGAGTTCTATGACCTCCAGATGGCGCACCTCACCCCCAATGCGGTGATGACATTGGCCATCTTCGCGCATCTGTGCGAGATGTTCATCGGGGTGCGCCCCTCTCTTCAGCTGTTCCGGTGGTTCTTCACCGTGCAGTCGGTGTCACCGCCGTCGGTGGTTGGCGGCTGCTACTTCCAGCCGCGGGGGCCGGTGTTGAACCGCTACATCCCCTGCGTCCTTCGCAAGAAGTGGGACGACTGGAAGAGCGACTGGTTCTACACCCCCCTCGCCAACGAAGCGCGCCTCCGACTTCCAAGCCAGCCCCCGGCGCAGGTCTCCAGCTGGCGGGCACCGGTAGATCTGGGGGAGGACTACGACGCCGTCCTCGACCGCCTGGCGGGCCTGCAATCCCAGGGGCTCACCGGGGCCATGGTGTACGGCGATTACCTCCGTCGCCGGATTGCGCCGCTCCAACGGCGCGCCCGGAACGCCTGGGAGTACACTGGGCCTGAAGACTACATGCGGACCCACCAGGGAGCCAGATGGGATTGGGCTCCCGAGGACTTCAAGATCGTGGTCCAAAGGGTGCTGAATCTTAACTCCGCGGAGGCGTCTCGCATTCCTCAGGAGATCCTCCCCCTCTGCAGCGATCCCGACCGCGCCTCCATTCTAACCATTATGATGGGGGTCGGGGCCTCAGAGGAGAGAGCCCCTAAGGGCCACGACGGCGCGGGCGAGCGCCGCCGAGGGGAACAATCTGCCCCAGGAGGGGGTCGTGCTTCTGGGCCCCGCG